AGGTACTGGGAGAGACATAAAGACAGAACTGGGCCAGCTAGGTCTTAGCCATGCAGACACAGAGGAGGGTTGTCCGTGTCAGGGAGGTCAGGAAGACCTTTGTGGAAAGTAATTGCTTGGGAAAGGAGGGGAAGGTTAAACACACCCATTGCCATGACGGAAACTACTCTTAAATCAGCAAAATAAACCTAAAAACATGAACTGGATGCCTAGGATAGGCGTAGACTAATGAAAACTGAACAATATTATTATCATTATCCATTCAGGAGAAAAAAATACAAAAGAAGAAAAAAGGGGGAGAATATTGTAGGCTGCGTTTCCCAAAAGCATCACGAGCCCTAGTTGATCGTGAAGAGCACTGCCACCAATGTTCTCTACGATCAATTTAGCTAACAATGCGTTTGTGAAATGCAGCCCTGGCTTGTCCATATAATATAAGTGAATAGGGACAGAGACTGAAATTTATGTTTGAGTATTCCAACAAAATACATTCTTTCAAGCAAGATATAAAATCACAATTATTTCATGGTGAATTGCTTAGAAAATGATGTGGTGATCATGTAGTGAAAAATCACTCACTTTATTAATAGGATACTTTATTTTAACAAACCTACTCTCCCAAACATGTATTAAATATCCTGTTATATCAGTGGTAAGTAATGGGAACACAAATATTCTGTGAATTATCTATGTACAAGAGGAACACAACTCTAGAAAGTTCCATAAAACACTGACTTTTCAACAAAATGATCTGACTGTTATTCTTACATATCTGCACTGACAAATCAAATTGGCAACTGGCTTGTGGCCAACTATTTGTAAAATAGGAATTTAAAATAGTTGACATTTCTCTGTCCTGACTCCTTTAGAGAGCTACTGAGAGGGAGATGTGGTTACAAGGCTTTTTGGAAAATACTAATTAAATTATCCCCATTTTACCCCCTTTCCTTAAGGGCCAGGAACTTTGGTTGTCATCTGACAATCAGCAGTAGACGGATTGTGACCTTGTCTGTTGAGGCAACGTCATTTCTGAACCGAAGGTAAATCAAGCCGGTACTTTCTAGATGCCTCCGCAGCAGATTTCTGTGTGGTTGCCAAATAAAATTTGATTGATTGACTGGCCCCTTGAATAGCTGATTTATTGAGGTTGCACTGAAAAGCTTTTTTTATGTTGTGGAAGGATCTTGCTATCACTACACGGTAAACAGCCAAGACAGATTCAATTACACTAGGCACATTTTAAACTTCTTAGCACTGCATATCCATACAATCAATGATAATCACAGAGCAGTTTGGCTCAGAGATCATGGTCATGGGTGGTCCCTCATGAATAATCTATAGACTTCTTTGTGATTGTAGCGACTGGACCCGACTCAGACACACAATTATTCATTATATTTAATGAATTATCCAGGAAACCCCCTCACCCCCCCACAAAACAAGGTGCCTGTGACAACCCCCCAAAAAGATAGATCAGAAACCCTGGTTATAATGGCAACAAAAAGGCACGCCAGTGAGTCTGACCACCAGACCTTTCCTTCGAGGCCTCAAGTCAGGCTAACATCACAGTTCTTCATCATTTATTTCGTTCAACATGGAAGAAATTGATTGCAAATTGAACACCATCAACTTACTGAATCATCAAGACTTCCTCCTGAGACTGCATCCGGCATTGCAAGTATTGTACATTTAACTAGCTAAACAGAGGATTAGTATGAGCTATAGACCCCTATTAACAAGGTGCTTTGAAATAAGAAACTGATGGTTCTGTTTAGATGGTTAAATTACTCTTTTCCATAGCTTTATTCCCGTTTCTGTTTTCGGTTCCATTCACTTTCACTTTACCCATGTATGCGTGATTGTGTCTGTATGCGTTTGTTTAGATTATGTGTTCGTGTTTTTTTTTTTTTACTTTTGTGCACATTCATGCGATATTCTGATCACTGCTTTGTAAATTAACGTCCCTTTAACAATGATCACAGCTACATGCAAAGAAAGTTATTTTTCTGTTGCCATGAAAAATATTCTTTCTGAGAGTTGATAGACGATCAATACTGAGTGTTCGCTGGACGAACAGATTAACTGATGGTAATATTAATTCAGCTACATCAAGTTTCCAAATATTTATAATTATTCATATTTTTATTTTGAGCTAATTTGCTAAACATTGTGTTTGCATGTTTTTGTGTGCAAACTTATTTTTGTGAGAGTGCAAGAAACAAATCTTTAAGGCAGATCAACATCTTTAGTGTTGGGACAATATTACTGGATTGAGACAGATATTTTTAGATTAATGGTTATCAAGATTGGGTTTTTACAGGCAGATTCTTAAACATTAACATTTGGCATACCAAATCTCAAAACATTTGGTTTAATCCTTGCACAAACTACCGCTAAAATCAGAATCTTGTACAAGTCCCTAACCCCAGCCATAACCACAACCACAAAATGATTAACAGAAATTCTTGTTCCTGGACCAGCAAAGATGATCCCACTCCAAAATCGCATCACCGTATATTAACTGGTCTGTAAGTGTACACATTTTTGCATGCATGAATAGCTAGAACCCATCTTCCATGTCAGAGGGACGGTAACACTTTATAATAACTGCATGCTATTAATCATTTGTTAAGCATGAGTAAACAGTTAATTCATCATTTATAAAGCATTAATATACATTAATAAGCAGTTTATAAATACAGCTATAAACACTTTTTTTCTTGATTTATAAGCATATCTATAATGCGTTTAATAATTGTATTTTCATACTTTGTTAATGATCAATTAATAATTTCTAAATGAAGTATAGCATTATTTATAAACCAGTTATTTAAGAGTTGTCAGTTATTCATAAGATCACTTAGAAAGTGTAAGTAAATGTAGTAAATACAGCATTTAGTAGTGGTCAGTTAACTATTTTGTGAGCTAATCTAAAGTGAGGACTATTCATGCCTTGTAAAGCATTTATAAAGTAGATTTAAAGGCTCATCAATCTTCTAAACAGTAAAATGTAACAAACACAACACAGTGATACAGAACATAGAAATATTTAACAGCCTTTAAATCTCCTTTATAAATGCTTTACAAGGCATGAATAGTCCTCACTTTAGATGAGCTCACAAACATAGTTAACTGACCACTACTAAATGCTTTATAACTACCCGAATTAACCCTGAATTACAGCTTAAATATATGTTAATAAAGCATTTATTAACACACTAAGTAACCATCACTATATGTCTGAAAAATAAGATGTATGAATGTACATTTAAATAGTTTATTAATCATTTACTTACACGTTCTAAGTAATCTTGTGAACCACTGAAAACTCTTAAATAACTGGTTTATAAAAAATGCAATTAATCATTTAGAAATAATAAATTGATCATTAATAAAGGATGAAAATACAATTATTAAATAAATTATAGATATGCTTGTAAATCAAGAAGAAAGCATTTATAGCTGTATTTATAAACTGCTTATTAATGTCTATTAATGCTTTATGAATGATGAATTAACTGTTTACTCATGCTTAACTAATGATTATTAGCGTGTAGTTATTATAAAGTGTTACCGCACTTTTATATTGCTCTTCATCATTTGATGAAATACTGCTGCCATTATCAACAAAAAATCTAAAAGTCTTCTTTTTTTAAACCACCCACAGACAGGACAGAGTAAAAAAGGCAAACTTTTACGCAAGAGCGAATAGTTCAATATAGACAAATACCGCTGAATCTTTTAAATAAGGCACACTGTAAGCCTAATTTAAACAGGGTAAGTCATGTTTGCGCTGAAACAATGACCTTTTAAATATTTAAATAGTCATGGCATGGTGTTATTTCTGCACATTTAGCACCTGGTTAAAACTGATTGTGAATGGTTAATGAATAAGACATTTTTTTGCGCTGAAGTACCACACACTAAAGTGGTGAAACTGTTTGTTTAGTGAATTTGTAGTGAAAGTACACAGGAATCTAGCATGTTTGTTTGTGGACGAGGGCACGGTAGAGCAGAGACTATTTTTGTCTCTACCTGTCTGTGTCACTATTAATGAGAGATAGCCACCCATCCTGACACGCACGCTCAGTGCCTGTCTGTCTCTTTAAGCAAACCGCCCCTCAGGTCCCGCTCATTTCACATGCTGTATTTGCAGAGTGCCAAGAGACTGGAAAATACACTGAGATAAAGAGAAACTGCAGTGATGTCAGAAAGAAGAATGAGAAGGAGGAGGGGGGACACTGAGGGAAGGGAAAAGAGCTTTTAGATGAAGAATCCAGAGCAATAAAGTAAATGAGAAAAAAAGAGGATAAGAGAAAAAGATAAGACAGAGAAAGTCTTCCTGTTTGCGTTAGTTTTACACCTTCAGCAAACGTGAAGCACTCCCAGCACAAGGACGGCAAGAAACTGAACGCTAAACCAATAAAAGTGGTACAATCCTAATCCCCTAAAAGTGATTGTGTACACGAGGATGTGTGTATCAGAGAGAGAGAGAGAGAGAGAGAGAGAGAGAGAGAGATGGGTGAGGGGGATAAATGTGTGTGCGAGTGTGTGAATTTGGCAGTGATAACTGACTCAGAACGCACGACTGCGATGTTCTTCCTGAGGTGACTGAAAACTGTCACCATTGGCACCTGAAGCGCGCTCTCTCTCTCTCGCTCTCTCTCCTCCTCCACTCAACCCATCAAGGACAGACACGGCAGACTGAAGAAAGAACAGTAGTGTTAACTCTCTCTCACCCTCTTTTTCTCTCCCTTCATCTTTCTGTTTTCTATCCTCCATTGTTCTCATTCATCATTCTTGTTCTTCTCTCACTCTCTTTTACATTCACTCGCTCTCTTTCGCTCACTCGATCGCGCTCGCTCCCGCTCTCCCTCCCTCACTTGTTCTCTTATGAATGTCACCTTTACTGGTGGTAGCCGCTGGATTTGCACACACACACCCACATACACACACGCTCGCTGGCTTTGGGGTGGGGTGGGGGGGGGTTAATGTAGGGGTGTGGGGAGAGATAGCGCGTGCCAGAAGAGGCAGAAGGGAAATTTCTCAGAGTCCATTCTTCTTTTGCCGGCTACCGTCCTGCGACTCAGGGCTTTGTCCGTCCCAGCAGCTGAAGCAGAAGTGCCTCTGGACGTGGGAGCACTGGATTACCGCTTGAGATTATTCTCTCTTTTTTTGCCAGCACAACTAAAGTTAGCCATAGGGACTGCAGGCTGACCATCTGGCAGTTTCTGACAGGATCTGTTCCTGATTTGAGCCGAATAATTTTGCTGCTGGTGAGCGAATAACTTTTTTGCAAGGACCAGCCGTGTGTGGGTGAGAAAGCTCATCGTTCCTGTGTGCTAAACTTTAGCTTTGTCAGTGTTTTCGTCTTCAGGAACAAGACACAAGGGGAGGGGAAGGGAGAGGAGAGAAAGAGGGGGGGCAAATATGTCGGCAATGTCGCAACAATGACTTTGTCAGCCGCTTTCTGTATCTTTTTGTGGAAATGTGACGATGTCGATTTACGTTTTAAGGATTTGTTGTGGTGTCAATATGTATTTAGAGAAACAAACATAATGAAGGACAAACCATGGACAGGTTGTGAGTGGACCAGAACTTAACCTCTTCCCTTACTGGAGGGAAACACACGGACACGTGAGGAACCTACCTGAATTCTTGGCTCTCCACGCAAGGTTTGACCCCTGACTTTATCTTTTTGTGCTGCTGGTAAAAAGACGAGTGCATCCAGAGAGGGTCTCTTAAGCAAACAGAGACCCCCCTCCTAAAGGTGAGAGGGGGGGGGAAGATGGCAGCACTTGCCAGTTCTCTCATCAGACAAAAACGGGCAGTCAAGGAAGACCAGGCCAACCGGCCGATAGCCAACAAACGCAAGCCGTGCCCCAAGAGCAACAAGTCTCTTTGCCAGAAACAAATTCTCGTTCTCATATCAAAAGTACGGTTATGTGGCGGTCGAAGAGGAAGAACAGAGAAAAGACCAGGTAGGTTTATCTGTAACTTTCTATTTCAACTTTTCACTTCTGGAACCAAATCCACCAACAAAAAAAGAAAGAAAGGTAACTGCTTTCTTGAAATACCAAAAGAGCAGAATGAAAAACTAAAGTTGCAAACTGATGTCATTCTTCTTGGCTTCTCTAATGCCACTTCACAATCACACTCAAGTTCAAACTGGCTGTGGTACAAATGTAGGGATACAACACTGAAATACAGTCTGGTCTGAAATACAGTCGTCTCTGTGAAGCAATGTTTCACAGGTCACATAAAGGAGAAATCACTAAGCTCATGAAGTTGTAGCATCATGGAATTTATTCAGACTTTTATAAGGGAAGAAGGGGATTGACTACTATTTTATGACATAAACAGAGCTGGAAGAGGCAAGCCCTTTATAAGGTGTGATTTACAGTCTTTCAAAGCGTCCCACATGCACAGGCTATTCTGGGTTGCGTTAAGACTTGCCCTTAGGATGCTAATTATTACCTCATATCTTCTATGTTCACACATGGGCAAGCATGTCTGCATATTAATACCTAATTTCAATTGTGTTCCATAAAATAGTGTTTCTCAGTAGGGCTATGAGATTGGAAGTTGGACTCCGGCCATGTTTTAGTTCCAGTAACCTTGCCAATGGCCAAAAAGAAAAAAACAGCACGCTCTCTGATTACAGCACTGATACTGAGACAGAATCTCTGCGATTGTTATGTCAACCTACAGGGCAAAAATTCAAAACAACCAATGTCCACAACTCTGACTAGCAGTTTTATTGAAACAAAAACATCTCTGTTCTGAATCCCTGCCATTGGTTGTGAGTTTTGTAATGTCTTTGGATAATAATGGGGACCAAATGCTTATGACATTTTGAAATTGATGCCATAGCCTAAGACTGAATGACTAAATACTGAATAAAAGAACTGTCAATGTAAAAACAAGATAAAAGAGAGAAAGGATAAAGAGATAAGACAGTGAGTGAGAGTGTGAGTGTTTGAGAGTGTGTGAGAGAGAGTGGGTGTTTTGTACATAAATGAAAATGATTATAGTCAGGGATATTAATCTGCCTCTTTATCCGCCTCTCTCCACACTGCAATCATCAGAAAAAATATGGGTATGAACAGAAATGAGTGTGAAAGAGAGTGTGTGCGTGTACTTCTATAATACTGAAGTAACGCTGATATCCAGTCCTACTCCTGGGACCGTGTTCTGTAATATTTACATTCCTTTGATATCTACTGAACACATTATCACATTACGCTCCAGCACCGTTAGCATAATGTGGTTTAGGGACATACTGAAATGCAAATATGTTTTCGCACATGCAAACACACAAAAACTGGCTCAGGGAACTACATATAATATTGCATTGCTAGGATAGGTGAAATTACTACTGCAAGTCTTTCCTTATACTGTTTAACCCTGTTGGTCTAGACAAGTTTATTCTTGTTAGTGCAGATTTAGTGCTGGTCTACCCCCAGAGGTCAAGGTTTGGATGGTTAATATGGCCTTGTTAGCCCCTGCTGGTAAATGTTGAATCTAAAACCAGCTGGCAGAAAAAAAGCAACTAGCTGGTGAATCTGATTGACAAATGATATCCTGTTGGTTAAGCTAATTAACAAGCTTACTAAGCAGCACATCAACATCGAAAACACAACATTTACTGGTCTTTTCAGCAGGGAAGTCCCTCTAAATGCCTTAAGCTGTGACATTTCATTTCAGAGTTGTGCTTCAAAATTCAACCCATAGCACTTTGGGTGAACTGAAGCAGCCAAAAATTGACAAATTAGTGGGCATCACCTAGCCACAGCAGTGTGGCATCATGGGATCACTGCTGCATTGTCAGGTCAGTGATCCATATGCATCCATCATAACAATGTCACGCCTCTGCTGTACCCGCAACACCCTTCACATCTGTCTCACGCACACCTGTCTCTCTGAGTCACTTGCTTTGGATGGGTTCCCTTGCAGCTCTAAAATGGCGTCGCGGTCTCACAACATCTGAGGTCGGCGCTGAGTCTACTGGTCTCTCGATCGATGCAGCTCATTAACGTATACTGATTAATCAATGATCACCCTCTCCGTTTGCCCAGTGCCCAATTTCATGCAAGGTGGAGATGGTATAGAAACGTAAACCACACACACAAACACAGACACAAAAACCATTCTCTTAATAGCAGTAGCTGTTTTACACCTTTACAGTTTTATGGAGCACTTGGCTTCTGCGGAGTGTTTGGCTTTATTCAACAACAAATCTCCTAGAAGGAGAGAGACAGCATGGGAGAACCAATTATTATCAGTAAAGGAGCGAGAAAACCCCTCACATAGGGCACACAATTTTCCTTTAACATAAAACAGCTTACAGGAGTGGATTGAATATGGTATATGAATGAATAACATCAGTCAAGCCAATTTTCTATTCTCGATAACTTTGAGTAACACCTGAAATCATGGTGATACTGCAGTGTCTAAAGAAAATATAAAAGATGGCAACTTCCCTAACAACAGAAATTCATTTCATGACTTTATTTAATAAATTAATAAGTCAAAATAAGGCACAAATACTAATTATCTGACAGCGGCTTACCATGCTTTACTTTTAATAAGGCAATGGTGAAAAACAGCGCCTGGAGCAAAACCTCTGGATAAGATTCTGCTCATATCTCCGTCACTGTGAGTTACCAGAACCTCACATAGCAAGCATATGTGCACAGCAGAGTGACTATCGCAGTCTATGGCGTGACGGCCAACTAGATGCCCAATACGGTTTAGATCACAGCACAGACTAATCAAACTTAGTCTTCAGTTGCGAGTTCTGAATGCTACAGAATGTGGCTGTCACTGGCATTAATAAACAAACAGTGAATGTAACCGTATTTAATCACTCTAAAAGTGACAAATGACAGATAGCCATTTTCTGCTGCTGTGTAAACATTGCCGTAGAGTTCCAGTGCTCTCACAGCATTAAGGTGGGAAATTAACATTTGCAACCAGCCAACTGAGATGTTTTGGTGGGGTTTCCACAGTAGTGGGTGATTTTAGCTTGTCAACCCACTCTAGTGAGAAACATTTAAGAGTGGCTTGAAAAAAAAAAAAGCTGTCGCAATGTAGTTCACTTGTTACATTCTTTCCGATTAGATCTTCGACCATATCAGGAAATGTTCATAGTGCTAATGTAAGATTTCAGCTGCCAGGATTTAGTGATTTGTACTAAAAAATGGATGCCTTATTAGAATTAAAATGAGATGGTAAAAGGATCAGAGTGGCTAGTAACAGCTGAAAGAAAAGTTTACCTGTCACCTTCAAAATTACTAACAAAAAAGAAATAATTAACAGAAAAAGAAGAGAGATGAGGTCTGCAGATGTGTAGTAAGGAGAATTCAGCAGGGTTCAGTCTAAAGGAGTCGCTCAGGGCACGAGGACGTGGCACTGGAGGAGGACAGCATTAAGCTGACCGCTGAAGATGGGCTGTCAATCTTGCTTACTCAACAACACCTGATCACACTGCACAGTGTTAGGTAGCCTCTCATCCGAGTACTGAGAGTGCCAGGGGTCAGAAAGAAAGAGAGAGAGGAAGAGAGAGGGGAAGAGATAGTAATGCGGAGAGGAAGGAAGTAGAGATGGAAGAGGATGAGGAGAGGGAGGGAAGAAGAAAGAGCAGGAGAGATAGTTGGAAAGACAAAAAGTGAGTCACTGCAAATGACAGAAGGGCATGCAGAGGGAATTCAGAGGAAAATAAAAAAATCACTGATGATTAAGCAAAAGTTCTGGCAGAGAGTTTGTTCAATTAAAATGGGGATCATGTACGTTCGCTGCATGAAGGTTGTTCATTTTTGTTTGTTAAAATAAAAGAAAACACTCATACAAATACACTATATAATAAAAAGGGTCTAAAGACTAACTTAAAGGAACATTCAGAGTTCAAGCTCACATAAGCTCTATGAACATGCTTTTGATTACCACAGAAAACAATTTTTCATTCCTCAGTTTGTCACGACAAATATTGTGTTTACACTAACACCCTTACAATGAAAGTCTATGGGGCAAGACATTGCATTGGGATAAACACAACATACAGCCACAAGACTTACACATTATGTAACAAAATTGCATACTAACCTTTTCTAAGCTATATTAAATGTATCTAACTTCTGTCATGATCATGAAGAGGGTAAACTCAGAAATGTTCGCAGAATGGCTGCTACATTACTTGAAAAAGGCTGTTTACCTAAAGAAAAATTCACCCACTCTAATTTCGCTAGTTCAGACCAACAGCTAAAATATAACATTTTAAACTTGAGATTTAGGTAAAAAAAAAAAAAAAATACACTTTTTAGTAACACACTTTTGTATATAAAAATATATATATCTACACAAACACACATTTCAGATATAAATGCAGAAATGTGCTACTTTTTAAAGAAAAGAATTTTTTTTACAGTGCTTATATATATATATATATATATATATATATATAAGCACTGTAACATTTTTTCTTATATATAAGCACTATAACATTTTTTCTTTTCTTTAAAAAGTAGCACATTTCTGCATTTATATCTGAAATGTCTTGCTTCATAATCTTCCATTTTTTTTACATAATATATTAAAAATGCAAGTTTTAATTGTATTCTGTGTAAATTTGAAATAATATTCTCTTAAAAATAAAGTACAAGTAACTTAATAAGGGATGTAACCAGTAGAAACAGTATTGATTATTAAACTGCTGGTCGATTAAACAGAATTTTGCTTGTCCTCGCTCTGAGCTCACACACAGCACTTGTTCAAATAATTAATGAATTAAGATGTAGTTCACTATTGAGTTTGTTAGTCAACAAATAAACAAAAAGATCTACTGTGAGTGTGTGGTGGGCTGGCTGCTCCCTCTAGACGATCCTAGAGGCAGAAGTGAATAAAGATGTTGGAAAAGTAAATATGAAAGAAATGAAAGACATCAAGTCATCATAATACTAGACGGTTAACACAATTGATCCAC